CAAGGTCATAAATCAAGGTCAAAGTTAAAACGAGGTCTTTTGCTTGTCCCATACCTTTTTGATATGCTTAAGATAATCAAAACGTAATGCTCATAGACGGCTTGTCAAAATCTTTTCATTTACTAAGGTCAAAGTTTAAGGTCACGAATCGAGGTCAAATGTTCTAAAAGGTATTTGTGCAATTACTATTGTATGTGTTTAAGGTTGATACAAAAACCAATTGTCAGTGGGCGTATAATGTGCTGTATGCACACTTTATTTTTAAAATCTGCAAATGGGGGAGAAAGACACATGTAGCTACTGTTGAGCGATTTTCATAACTTTAATATTATAAAAGTGTTCAAATTGTGTAGATTCACTGACATTCAAAAGTGAAACATTTCAGCATTTTATCCAAATATTTGTATTCTGACACTGAATCAGTCTCAACATCCTATTGCTACTACTTTGACCAACTAAAAATACTTAAAATATTAGATTATTTCAGCTGGTTTCAAAGAAGTTTATTGAAGAGCTTAGATTTATTTTAATTATATCAAGTATCATAAATGTGTATAAAGCATTTTTACATGAGCTTAAATGTATTTTTTTTTTTTTTTTTTTTTGAGATTTCACATACTGTAGGATACTTGTGTCTGAGGTAATGTTGGGTTTAGGTTTAAAAATAATACATTGGCAGATGCAATGATTAATCAAGAAATTCTACTTTTCAGGGACTGAACTGTGATTTTTGTCTCAATGAGATTGACGATTGAAACAAAAGCATTTCCAGTAAACCTTTGCATTAAAAACACTCAATTGTCCAAACGGGGTTAAATAATGATTTTATGCACGATTTCTTTAGAGGGCTTTTTTATACTTTCAGTCAAAACATGTTGTAGGTTGTTCACGTTTGTGCTATTGTGCATTTTAAAACTTTGTATGCGACGTCCTGTGTTTATATAAATTATGACCCAATTACATGAAGATGTCTGGATTTTAGTGCAAGATTTGTGCAAAGATGCTTTGTTACTCACATTTGCTAGTGCAGTTTTGTAACTAGTTTGATTTCAGAAAGCGTATTTGTGCCCTTTTTTTAAATTCAGAAAATTATGAATTTTATGCTGATTATTTAATGCCTATAGAAAAATTGCTCAATTGTTTCTATAACATTGGGTTACAAATTATTGAAACAAATATTGTAACTAGGTAAGCCTTCCTCTGCATAATATAAAGTTTAAACATTGCAATCAATAAATATTACATCCTCGCTGCTTCACCATCAAATGCTTAAAATATTTCTCATTAAACTGTAATGAGTCATGAGCCTATGTCAGATTTGTCTGAATTGTTTGGAATTGTCCCTCTCTGTACATCCTGTCAAGGTTTCTTTAACTCATATGGTACATGTGGTAGAATGAAATTGTCCCAGTTACATCCAACAAAAGTATAAAATGTAAAATAAAAAAAACTAAGATCTAAGATGTGAACTAAGAAGTCCTGCCCTTCAGTGAGAATTGGCTGCTAATGCAAAGTTCATGCCTGGTTTGACCCCTGTTGCGAGAAGGTGAACTCTGCAGATGCTGAGCCCTGAGAGGTGACCTCTGCCTACCTGTCATCACTCTGCTGCCTGAACTTTCCAACAACCTTTCTGTGATCTCGTTTTTTTTTATACAAGATGTGGAAAAGCTCAAACTGGTGCTCCCTCTTCAGATACCTTTCTGAAGCTTCATTCTGCATGCATTAATGGGGCTTTTTGAGGGGTCTGAAGGTATTCAGTGTTCAGCTCAACAGCAGACTGCTGGAATTGCAACATGCTGCCTCTTTCCCCAATGTTTTATTCAACACCTAAACCTGTCAAATAAAATGAGCTACAGCTGCCTGGCACATCAGTGTTAGTTTTGAATTTTAGTGACGGCCAAATGTTTCGCTTTTCATTATACATTATGACCTATGCGTGAATCAAATCTTTCATTAGCGTTTTGTAATCTAAGCAGCAAGATTTATGGTGTATGAATTGTCCATGTTGCACAAAATACATTAATCCTACAAAATTGGGTTTTTATTTGTCCCAAGAATCAAAAGTTGTGCGGTTTGTTCATTATTAAGGATGCAATTAATTTGACAAGTGATGAACATCCTTTCATGTGATAGTGATTGGATAAAATCCCAAAAGCTTGGGATTGATTACGCTTTGACATCCTGTGAAAAATTGGATTAATCTGCAGGCTTTCAAATGTTGCACACTGTCAGGTGACGTGCACACAAACATGACGGAAGAGGGAACGTATCTCAAGTGAACACTGTTCTGATTCACATCACTGCATGTGATAAAGGACCTTTAATTAGACCGTATATCTTTAAAACTAGACACGGATGCCCTCTGATTCATAATTCATATGAATCATCTGAGTTGCAGACACTGAGGCGGCATGAACAGACTGTATTAAGCCAGGATGGGCAATAATTTTCTTCCAAAGAGCAATATTTGATAAATTAATCAGGAATCCTGTAATACGGAGGGAGTTTTAAAGCATCAGCTTCCATTTTAGTCAAGTTTGCATCTGTTTGACAAACGTGTCATTGAACACAACAATAGTGTCTGAGCATTTCCATCATGCTGTCTAGAAACTGAAGTGTCAGACTAAATGTCTGCTGTGGGTAAATGATGCAACGTTCACATCAGTTTTGTAACGTGCATCATGAGCCTGGTTTTGTAAGAGCAAACCTTTAATAACTAGAACAAAAGGAGTTGGAAAAAATGTCCTTGGATTCTAACATTAAAGCATATTCAGTGGCCACTGGCCATGACATGACGTTAATTACCTTTTTTATTTTTATTTTAATGAGTTTGAATTTACTCTTACAAGATGGATAGATTTGGGACTCATTCTAACTCTTGCACTGTTTGAGTGCAGCCTTCTAAAAAGATTTACATACTTTACACATTTTCTCTTTTTGTACAACACTAAACCAAGAACCTTTTCATTTTTTAAAGCACACAGGAATGAAGGATGTATTACAGGAGTGATCAGCCAAGAACTTTTGTTCTAATTTTATATTGTATATGACTAGGACAAATGGCTGAGGAGGCGTTAAGTTCTAAAGTAGAAAATGTTGGCATACATGTTTAAGTTTGATTTTTATACAGGCAAGCTGGGAATGGCACCTCCACACGTCAAATTACTATTTGAATTTTGGGTATTCTAAAAATGTGCATCAATTTGCTCAGCCAATATTTGTTCAAGTGCCTAATAAAATAAAATACCCGTTTTTTTTTTTTTTTTTTTTTTTTAAATGCCCCTCAAACAATCATCTCTTGTCAAACTACTTAATAATCAAAGTATATCTGAAGCCCTTACAAAGCTTGAACTGACTAATCGGACTTGGTTCGAGTGTTTGAGGTTTTAAAAAACGTCTGCCTGAGGCTCTGAGCCCTGTCTTGTTTGCTCTGGTGATGGACTAACGGGTCAGGCAGGCATCCCTGAGGGCTATGTTTGTAGATGACGTTGTGATCTGTGGTGAGGACAGGTGGAAGAGAAACTGGAGAGGTGCACTTGAAAGAAGAGGAATGAAAGTCAGCCTTATTGAGACGGCGTACATGTGGGTGAATGAGGGGGAGATTGGTGGAACAGTGAGGCTACAAGAAGCAGAGGTCACAAAGATGCAGGCCTTCAAGTACTTGGGGTCCACTGTCTAGGAAAATGGAGTGTGGTAAAGAGGTGAAAAACAGTCCAGGCAGGATGAATGGAGAAAAGTCTTAGGAGTGATTTGCGACAAAAGGGTGTTGGCAAAGGTCAAAGGAACAGTTTACGAGAAAGTGGTGAGACCAACTATGTTGTATGGTCTGGATATGGACATGGACAGGAGAAAGAACTGGAAGTGGCAGAAATGACACTCCAGAGGAGTGACAAGGACGGATAACACTAGGAATGAGACGGAGGTACAGCACAGGTTGAACAACCGGGAGATGAAGTTAGAGAGGCCAGACTGAGATGGTTTGGACACATCCAGAGGAGGGACAGTGGGTATATTGGTAGGATGTTAGAAATACAACTGCCAGGAAACAGATGTGTGAGTGCAGTTAGAGAGGACATGGAGGTAGTTGGAGTGAGGACAGAGGACGCAGAGGACGGAGTGAAATGGAAGAGGATGACTCACTGTGGCAACCCCTGAAAAGGGAAAAGCTGAAAGTAGTCTGAGGTGCTAATACCTTTTTTTTTTTTTTTTTTTTTTTTTTAAATCCGCTGCTTCCGCACATCCTTTCTAATTCACATTGCTCTAGATGAATCAAACATTTTTATATCTGCAAAACTTGGCATCATGGTTTTGTACAATATAGATATTTTATTTTTAAGCTTGCGGTGTTATGAAAAAGGACCAATGCTGTTTATAGAGTGGTTTTGATCCAGGAGGTTGTGCGGACACCACTCCCCACAGATACTTGGTCTTTTCAGGAAAAAGGCCAGCTTCTTGTCTTTAACCAGGTGCTTTGTGGAGGATCTCTGCTTTTGAGATTTGAGCCAACTGTTTGCAAAGATCATGCTGTGCTCCTGCAGGAGCTCTGGATGATGGATGAGGCCTCAGCACGTCTCGTCTGCCTGGTTGCTTTAATTCTGTAGGACTTAATATAGCTGAAGCTTTTACAGTTTTGTTTTGAGATGTAATGATCGACTGTCCTTTAAAAACAGAGTATTTAAGTGCAGTGACATTCCTTTTGCAAAAACTTCCATTTTCCTTCAAAGCCCAAACTGGATTGGTTCAAAAAGCTTTCCACAAAAAGCTCTAAATCTTTTGCAATCTGTTTTATTTTCCAGTTTAACTACACCAAAAATTAAAACCATTCAGTAGAAAAGGATAAACGACAAAACAGCCAGTTATTCTACTGAACCAGCAGAACACCCCTGGCATATACCCCAGACTGATCACCCATCGTGAAGTCACAAGGTCCTGTGGGTACATGCATACCCCACAGTCATGCTCCTGATGCGTGGTGACTTTGACATTTCCTCTCTTCTCAGCAATCCACGAGTTTCCAGATGACCTTTTTACCAACAATGAACGAAAGAGTGGAGCCGTCCTGCTGCACATTGTGGCGGTAAGAACCTTTCAAGTGATGCCATAAGGTCTTTACATTCTACAAAGTATAATGATTTTGTGGCTGAGTTGAATTGTCCTGATACATGCTAAACATATACGAGTTGAATTGTGTTCATGCTGATGGTGTAGAACGTCTTAAATATGTTCTGTTGGGTGAGGACTGTGTAGAACAGGGGGGTTTCTTTAAAACCTACAGGTGTTTAATATATTTTTTCAAAATTTTATGTAGCACATTTAAAAATGTTTGTCACTAGGTTAAGAATGGGGAAAATCCAACAAATAAAAATAATTAAGACCTTAAACCCACAAGATTAATATAGTAGTACTGTGGTAAGCTAATCTACAGATGAAGGCATAGATGAGGTGTTTTGTGGTCTTTTGGAGGAATGTGATTTTGCTTTAGAAATTGAACACAACTGGTAAAAACTGATTTTTACTGAGGATATTTGCTTTTCAAATCTAAACCCTCCCAAGATTCTTGACAATGAATGAACAACGAGGAGCAAGTGGACCAAGAATATCTGCCAACTCCAGTTAAGACGGCAGCAATTTGTCTCAACTCTACTATCCACTATGGAGTATGCTGTTTGTTGGGAATCAGTTTTATTTCGTGGCTCCTCAGATTGGGAAAAAGTCCTTTTGGATGAAGGACAAAATGTTAAAGAAACCATCCAGATGACCTGACTGAACATTGTTGGATTTTATACCTGGATTATTGATCATGAACTTTTGATATTTTGGATTAACTGGAGACTTTTTTTTTAAGTATTTGGACACCCAGATAATAAACCATTGCAATAGTCCAGTTTAGATGTGACTAATGCATGAACCAGATTTTCTGCATCATTTTTAGAGGTTTCTAATTTTAGCAATATTACACAGGTGGAAGAAGGCGGTTCTAGTAACATTTTTAATGTTGGGGTTAAAATACATGCGCTGATCAAAAATAACAAGATTTTTTAACATTAAAGCTGGAGGCCAGGTTAATGCCATCCAAGGAGGATGAGGGACTGAAAAATTAATTCCTAAGATGCTCGGGTCCAAAAACCAAAACCTCAGTCTTGTCCGTATCAAAAAGGAGAAAATTTAGGGTCATCCAGGTTTTTGTCTTTTTAAGACACACCTGTAGTTCAAATAACTGATGGGAATCATTGGATTTCATGGACAAATATAAATTTGTATCAGCATAACAATGACAATTTATCCCTTGCTGTTTAACTTTACCAAATGGAAGCATATATAAGGTAGAGTATTGGTCCAAGCACTGAACCTTGAGGAACTCCATGACTAACTTTGGTAACCTCGGTCATTTCCTTGGAGTCAGAGCTAAAAATATTTAAGAACCTGGGGGCTTGACTATTAAGAGATTATATTGGACATAAAAGCAGATTTTGCAGCTTTCACAGCCCTCTACTTTGATAAACAGCCACATAAGATTCCCAGACGCTTGCAGTTTGCCCCTTTTCCCACCTTCTTTCTGAGTGGCAGCATGTATGAGAGTGGGGGTGTTCATTTAACCAAAGTTGACTGGATGATTTGGCATGTTATGTTCTGAGTGGGGCAACAGAGTCCAGGATGCCAGAACATGACGAATTAAAAAGATTAATCAGCACTTCAACATTAAAATCAGCATAATTGACATCACTTAGAACAGGGCTGGTGAACGCAGAGGAAAAGACACCAGCTGTCGGGACCATGTGCTTCAGGAACAACTTGCCATCATGTTTACAGGCTACATGTGCTTATGTTCCTCAGCATTACTCTGCTCTTTGAGCTTTGCACTTAATAAAGCTGGATGATTAAAGAACCTAGCACTCATTCCTAGAAGTTGTTTGCACTTTTTCAAATGTGCATATGAAAGATGAAAATCGGCTTGCTGCAAGCTGATAACCAAATGATGCCACCACAGACTTGTACCAGTTTGTGAAGTGTTTAAAGCTCATGCTTTCTAAATATATTTGTTTTATGATGTCAAACTCTGAACACCACATAGTGGAACCCACAAAAGTATGTTTGGAAATTTGATTAAAGCGCGTTGGTTACAAAATGTGTTTGATAATTGAATTATCCTATCAGCTAAATAAGCCGCACGGGAAATCTTTTAACACAGGATTTAATCTTGCAAGATGGAGAAGCGCTGAAATACAAGCATGCAAGACGTTTACGTGTCGCTTTTTCTCAAAGTCTGCTCACAGGCAGTATAAGGAAGTATCTTTTTATGATTATCAGACAAAGGTGAGGTCTTCCCAGCTTTGGGCCTAGTTTATCAGGTGAAAGGCTCCATGCTTCTGCAGGCTACACTTTGCAAAGACAAAACCACTCTTAGCACACACGGTTATACAAGTTTTATAACATTTGACATTAATAAGTGGAAAAACGTCTATGACCTTTTTATATCTACATCAAAATGAAACTTAACTTAATGTAGAAATTTAAAAACCTGTTTTTTACAAACCCTAAAATGTCTTTCAAACTCCAGTTGACGTATTTGCATGTTTTGAACTCTCCTCGTTTGCAAAGATGGAATGTCATTGTAAAAAATCTGAAATTAAGAGTTGCAACATGGTTAAAATAAAACCGATTTTTGAGTTATGACACTCCAGAATCTCTTGTAGAAACCTGACTTGGTGTAAATCGTTGAGCTTCAGGCTGTGGTCCTGTACTGCCTCCTGTGGACAGCATAGAGGGAGTCATGCCTGTCAGAGCTGCTGCTCTCTGATCTATTATTTATAGATCTTCTCTTAGCAGCTGGTAGAAGTTTTCTCATGCCTCATCATAATAAAGAGCAACCATATACATTTTTTTCCCCCATATTGTAAATGGCTTGGATTTAATTCCATATTCAGTTTGGAGTCAAGTGAAACATTTCACCCTTGTCTCTTAGCAGCAGTTTATCCCAGCTTGTTGTTTGATAAACAATTCTGTTTGCAGACTCTCTACATGTTCCTGGCCCTCGCCATAACCTGCGACGAATACTTTGTGACTTCGCTGGAGAAGATCTGCGAGGTACCCTGACGGCTGTCGTCTCTTTTGATTTCAACTTTGACATTTCGTAAACAAATTTTTTTTTCCTCTCTCTCCCCCCCTGAAGAAACTGGATCTCAGTGAAGATGTTGCAGGAGCCACCTTCATGGCAGCTGGCAGTTCTGCACCAGAGCTCTTTGCGTCGGTCATCGGTACGCGCTCGTGCAAACATTCAGTGTAGACAGTCCCAGATGGTCTGTGTCATCGTCCCTCTGTGTGTGCAGGTGTCTTCATCACCCACGGTGACGTGGGAGTGGGGACCATTGTCGGCTCAGCAGTCTTCAACATCTTATGCATCATTGGTGTCTGTGGAATCTTTGCTGGACAGGTATGCGTGTGTGTGTGTGTGTGTGTGTGTGTGTGTGTGTGCACGTGTGTCAGGCCAAGCGAGTTGCTGTTGCGGCGGCATCATTTTGTTTATTTATAGACTGCAGAGCACTACATGCACAGCAGAAGTAGTTTTTCTTTTGAACCGAATTGAACTCCAGTGATGTGGAGATGTGCTATTTTGTGATGTGGAGTTTTAGAACGTTATGCAATGGCCATATGTGACAGTTTGTGACGATTTTTTACAATATTTTTCTCAAAAGATCTTTAATACTCTTAAGGTTTTACACACTTGCTCTTTCAGAACAGAAGACGATGAAAATAAAATTCAGGCTTTCTGTAAAGTGGCATGTTCTGTATATTTCTAACACTTCCAATCAAGTCAGAGTCAGAGTCAGTTTCTTTATTGTCATTCGCACCTCATGTGGTACATGTGGTGGAGCGAAATTATGTACACAAGGTCCCAGTTACATCCAACATCTGCCTTTCATAGACAATCTTGATGCATGCTCAATAATCCTGGTAGAAAATCTATAAAAAGTTAAGTCAGATCCTCTGGACGTTCAAAAAACAAAACAAAAACGTAGAAACGTTTCGTCTTTCAGATCTTCAGTCTGACTGAAGAAGTCTTTCGGATGAAAGACGAAAGGTTTCTACTTTTTTTGTTTTTTGAACGTCCAGAGGATCTGACTTAACTTTATAAGATTTCATAGAAATATATTATTCAACATGTGCTACACAGCTGAGATCCGAAGATATCGGACACTTCAGGTGCATCAGAACAAGAACAAACGGATTCAAGAACCGTTTTTTCCCAAAAGCCATCACCACATTGAACTCTCATATGCACTGATTGAATAATCTAACCTCCCAAACCCCTGGAATTCTACTGTACAATCACCTTACCTCTCAACTACCTCACTAATATCCATAATGTGCAATATAATTGTGAAATACTTGTATTTTTTACTTTTCTAGTGCTATTATGTCTGTATTGCGTTACATTTTTGTTTTTAGTGTGCATTTTTCTTAAGCATGTTTTTGCACTGAAAAAAAGGAGTGGCTCTTAATTTCATTGTACTTGTGTATAATGACAAAGGCGTTCCTGTGGATTCTCAGGTGGTGGTGCTAACCTGGTGGGCTGTTTTCAGGGACTCCTTCTACTACATCCTGTCCGTCGTGGCTTTGATTGCAGTAAGTCGGTGTTCATCATGAATTTATTCATTTTACCAGTCTGAAACTAATTGTTCTGTTTTTTTTTCTTCAGTTTATCTACGATGACAAGATTGTTTGGTAAGTCACTCGTCTATTTGCATTTTTTTTTTTTTTAATTTTAAGAAAAATAACTTAAATTTTTGCTTTTGACTTAAAAAGTTGAGTTTCAAAACACACGCTGTTCAGTTAATAGTTTTCTTATCTTTTCTCGTAATGTCAATACTGTTGTAGTCTAAACTGCCCTCATACTTGCTTCAACTATACATAGACCACTTTACCACTTGAGTAGTTTTATTATTTGTCATTATATCAAGGTTCTTTGTCATTTGGATCACATGTGGCACATGAGGTGGAGCAAATTGTGTACAAGGTCCCAGTTACACCCAAAAAGAATATAAAGTATAAAAAGAAACTATATACAAGGATCTAAGATGTACGATTAAGACCAATATTGTAAACCGATGCGGTATAGTAAGCAGCAGCCTGAACATGAGTCTGTAGTGAGCAGATGAGTATGAATACAGCAGCATAACTCGAAGCACAATTTATAAAATGTACAATACTGGTCTACACATTATGAAAGGAATTCCATGGTTCAGGTTTATCAGAGCTATAGACGGCTTTAAGCTATTCCAGCCATGTAGAACGTCTTAAATTGTGCTTAGTCAGTTTTTGTTTATAGCAGTTAAAAAAATGCTTATAACAATTAAAGGCATTGCATTCTTGAAATAAATGCATCTTGCTCGCCACCTTTCAGAAACTTGAGATGTTTTTATGTGCAATCTTGTGATATTGGATGTTGATGTGCAGAATTTCCAAGTTGTAGTTGCTGAGAATCCTCAAATTCTAACAGTAATATTGACTATCAGCTTTTTTGTGTGTTTTTGCTAATATTTGGCTGTGATCATTTTGAATTGGGTTGACCCCAAATGTTAGATGTATATTGATTACTTTTTTGAAAGTTTTTAGTGAATTCCTTCCATATTTTGCTAATGGGAATGTTTATAATTTGCCAAAGCTTTTAAACAAAAATGTTTCATATTGTACTGAGCTGAATAAGTGTTTGAGTATGCTTGGCCGTACTACTACTGAGTTTTACCTCATCTGAAAAATGGCTAAATTTAATTTCTATATTCATATTTAGTTTTCTGAATTCTGAAAACAATGGACTATAGACACAAAGTTTGTTTTCTCAGTCATCCAGGTATATAACAACAAAAAAGGTTGAATCATGTCATCTGGACTTCGTTTTTTTT